TTTTTTTTTCAAGGCGTGTAAGGTAAGTAGAGACATATTCTAAAAGAATATAAAATTCTGCATACACGACAGGTACAGTAGTTGTTTCAGATTATTGTAATATTTTATTGAAACGGAAAACATATAATTTGTCTTGCACAAGCTTTAATACAAGATTTGCTGAAATACAGATGTCTCTCAACAAAACTAGTAATATTTCAGATTTTTCAAGGCGTGTAAGGTAAGTATGACATATTTCTAAAGAATATAAATTCTGCATACGACAGGTACGGTATAGTTGTTTCAGATTATTGCTAATATTTTTATTTAAACGGAAAACATATAATTTATCTTGCACAAGCTTTAATGAATTTGCTAAAATACAGATATCTCTCCTTAAAACTAGTAATATTTCAGATTTTTTCCAAGGCGTGTAAGGGAAGTAGGACATATTCTAAAAAGAATATAAAATTCTGCATACGACAGGTACGGTATTAGTTGTTTCAGATTATTATAATATTTTTATTTAAACGGAAAACATATAATTTGTCTTGCACAAGCTTTAATACAAGATTTGCTGAAATAAGATGTCTCTCCTTTAAAACTGAAGTAATATTTCAGATTTTTGTTTCCAAGGCGTGTAGGTAAGTATGACATATTCTAAAGGAAATATAAAGTCTGCATACGACAGGTACGGTATTTAGTTGTTTCAGATTATTGCTAATATTTTTTATTTAAACAGGAAAACATATAATTTATCTTGCACAAGCTTTAATACAAGATTTGCTAAAATACAGACTCTATCTCTCTCCCTTAAAACTAGTAATATTTCAGATTTTTCCAAGGCGTGTAAGGAAGTAGGACATATTCTAAAAGAATATAAAATTCTGCATACGACAGGTACGGTTTAGTTGTTTCAAGATCACTGCTAATATTTCTATTTAAAGGCAAACATATAATTTCTCTTGCACAAGCTTTAAGACAAGATTTGCTGAAATACAGATGTCTGTCCTTAAAACTAGTAATATTTCAGATTTTTTTCAAGGCGTGTAAATTAAATGGAGCATATTCTAAAAAAGAATATAAAATTCATACGACAGGTACGGTATTAGTTGTTTCAGATTATTGCTAATATTTTTATTGAAACGGAAAACACCTTATAATTTGTCTTGCACAAGCTTTAATACAAGATTTGCTGAAATACAGATGTCTCTCCTTTAAAACTAGTAATATTTCAGATTTTTGTTTCCAAGGCGTGTAAAGGTAAGTATGACATATTCTAAAAAGAATAAATTCTGCATACGACAGGTACGGTATTAGTTGTTTCAAGATTATTGCTAATATTTTTATTTAAACGGAAAACATATAATTTATCTTGCACAAGCTTTAATACAAGATTTGCTAAAATACGAATATCTCTCCCTTAAAACTAGTAATATTTCAGATTTTTTTCCAAGGCGTGTAAGGGAAGTAGGACATATTCTAAAAAGAATATAAAAATTCTGCATGACAGGTACGGTTTTAGTTGTTCCAGATGCTGCTAATATTTCTATTTAAAGGCAAACATATAATTTCTCTTGCACAAGCTTTAAGACAAGATTTGCTGAAATACAGATGTCTGTCCCTTAAAACTAGTAATATTTCAATTTTTTTTTTTTTCAAGGCATTAAGGTAAGTAAGACATATTCTAAAAGAATATAAAATTCTGCATACGACAGGTACGGTATTAGTTGTTTCAGATTATTGCTAATATTTTTATTTAAACGGAAAACATATAATTTGTCTTGCACAAGCTTTAATACAAGATTTGCTGAAATACAGATGTCTCTCCTTTAAAACTAGTAATATTTCAGATTTTTGTTTCCAAGGCGTGTAAGGTAAGTATGACATATTCTAAAAGAATATAAAATTCTGCATACGACAGGTACGGTATTAGTTGTTTCAGATTATTGCTAATATTTTTATTTAAACGGAAAACATATAATTTATCTTGCACAAGCTTTAATACAAGATTTGCTAAAATACAGATATCTCTCCCTTAAAACTAGTAATATTTCAGATTTTTTTCCAAGGCGTGTAAGGGAAGTAAGACATATTCTAAAAGAATATAAAATTCTGCATACGACAGGTACGGTTTTAGTTGTTTCAGATCACTGCTAATATTTCTATTTAAAGGCAAACATATAATTTATCTTGCACAAGCTTTAATACAAGATTTGCTAAAATACAGATATCTCTCCCTTAAAACTAGTAATATTTCAGATTTTTTTCCAAGGCGTGTAAGGTATGTAAGACATATTCTAAAAGAATATAAAATTCTGCATACAAGTATGGTTTTAGTTGTTTCAAATTATTAATTATATATTTTTTTAAAGAGTAGACATACACGTTCTCTTTCGTTAACCATTTATTTTTAAAAAAAGCTCTTCTTTCAAACATTAAAGATTAAAAAAAAACAAATATGCTTTTTCTGTTTAAAACGACATGAATCTTGCCTTGGCAATAAATATTTAAAAAGTAAAACCTAACGTCGGAAGGTGAAACGATATATACACGGGAAACGACCAAAAAGATGGCTACTATCTTGATGGCAACTCTCTCATAAACCACGGATATATCGTCTGACGCATCTGACGGACACAGGACACATTTCCATATACTGCTGGCATATAATTTTTATATAACAAGGTGCGTCTGAGAGAAGATCATCGTCGGATAGTTCATTCATAATTCTTTGTTTTGGTTCAACACCGAGCCAAGCTAGCTAGGCTACTCATGAATGAACTCTTGGATGTAATTTAAAAAACGACTTTGAATAAAATTGAATTGAAGAAGTTTGTATTATTAGAAATTATGTCAAAAATCAACTTAAAAATACTGTTGTTTGTATTTAAAGACGCAGCATATATTGTTCTATTCAAAAATCTATTTAAATCGAATGAAAGGAACTTCAGAGACAATAAAGCTTGAAACAATCGCACAAGAATCACAGAGCTAGGTAAAAAACACCGAAAGTGAACTTAAGTGCCTCCATATATCACAGGAACATCGATATTTTCCGGTGTTAATTTAACGCTTGGCTGGAGCCTACTTTACAATTGTTTTTCTGCGCTTCTCTCTTGATCAACCGCATTCATTTCAGATCGCCATGGACTTAGTTAAGAAGTGTTTAGTATGCGATAACTTCATCTTAATTATAGCTGGGTTTCTAGCAATAACTCGATAGAAAGGATGTTAATCTTTAAATTCTGTTTCTTTCAGTGGGTGCAGAGATAGGACTATTAAAATTTTTAAGAGCCTTATAAATCTAACTTATCGAAGAAGAGCTTCCTATATACGAAGCGTTTTTAATGATTAGACATAAATGATAAAATGACTAAAATCGTTCTGAAACAGACGTTTCGAAAAATATATTTCCCCTAACTCAAAGCACTTCGTCCTCACTTTTTCACATTTCTCACAAAGTCAAGATACCTAAGCTTTCAAAGGTGTATATTTTTCTCTGAATCTACATAAAATTTACCACAAATGCTGAAATTTAATAGATATTTAATGGCTCATAATTTTATGGATATATTTACTATTTTTCTAAGGCCTTTGAAAATGTGAAACAAATAACCAAAAATTGGCACTTTTTCGGCTTTTTCTATACATACAGTCATGAAAATTGGCGATTTTGATCAAGTCAATATCAAATTTAATCACTATCACAACAAATTTACTCACTAAAATGTGTCGATTAAGAAAATATAGACCATAGTAGTCTTACAAAAACAGCAATAGATGTAGGGGAAGTTTAAACTATCATCAAAAATAGCTGAAACACAAGGGTTCAAAAAATTATTTTTTCGCAAAACCAAGGTATCTAAAACCCTCCAAGGTTTATAAAGGTATTCTAAATCTACATAAAATTTCCTACAAATGCTGAGATTTTCATAATGGTATGGCTATGTTTACTATTTACAAAAATTGGTTATTTTTTCGACTTTTTTCCATACACATAGTCATGAAAATTGTCGATTTTCGTCATGTCACCGATTTTGTTAAAACTGCTGTTATTTACTAATTAATAGGCGTGGATTTAGAAAATATAGTCTTACGAGAACAGTAATGAATGTAAGGAAAGTTTAAACCATTATCAAAAATAACTGAAAAACGAGGGTTCAAAAAATTTATTTTCTCACTGTTTTTTTTAACATACGAAGTTTCGTCATGTCACCGATTTTGATAAAACAGCTGTTATTTACTAATTAAAAGACGTATATTTAAAAAATATAAGCCCTTAGGGTCTTACGAGAACAGTAATGGATGTAAGGAAAGTTTAAACCATCATCAAAAATAGCTCAAAAACAAGGATTCAAAAAATTTCTTTTCTCACAAAACCAAAGTACCTAAGCTTCCAAAGGTGTGTATATTCTGAACATATATAAAATTTTCTACAAATAATATATAATAATTTTCTGAATTATTTTAATAATTCCCTGACCAGAAAATGTGTAGCATATATAGCCAAAAATGACCAATTTTTCAATACCTACATGTATGTACGAATGTTGTCTTTTAAAGTCAACTATTTCATAGAAAAATACTTGCCCCAGAACCAGTAAATAAACAAAGTAAAAAAATAAATATCACATTAAAAGCCAAATTAAAAATGCCTCCTGTCCAGGAAAAAAATAACCACGACGAACAAACAAAAATACAGAATATGTATATGGCCCAAATCCTAGTAAATAAGCACAGTCAAAATCACTAATATTATTCTAAAAGCCAAATTAAGTATGTCTTCCATCCGAGGAAAAAACCAAACCCGACAAAGAAAGGAGACTCATAGCCAAACATATTATGCATGGGGAAAAGCAAGATTCGGACGATGCGAGAGCCGCGCCGGCTCGATCCGCCCGTGGGCGTCCCTCAATGGGCGGGCATGTCACGTGACGACGGCCACTGGTAGTGGCTCCGCCCCCACCGGTAGGCTCATTGAGTGCCAGCGAGCGGCACATCAATGGCCGTGAGTCCGCGGTCGCCGTAACACGATCTGCCGAATGTACACGTGTGTGGTGATGATGATAGTCAGCAGCGTTATGTCGCAACGGGACTAGTGGTGCCGAGCTGTGGTGCAAGTTGTGGCCTGTGCATGCATGCACTCTAGTGCCTCTGTGAGTTCTTGTCGCGGCCTCGAGCTGGATCATCCGGGCGGTTTTGGCACGTCGCCTTGGGCGGCTGTGCTGGGTCACCACGCGGCCGCTGCCGCCTCCATCATGCAGACGGGGGAGTCCCACGGGTATGGAGCGGCTCACCATCCAGCGGCGCCCATGGACCTTCACATGCCGCAGGCTTTCCCGTATTACCGGTAAGTGTAGCAATGGTGCGATCAACAAGTGACATGACGGCCTCAAAAGGACCAAAATCACTCCTTAACTATTACCTAGAAAAAATCCTGGATTGATATTCAAAGATAAACCACCTGCAGCTGAAGAAGATTTGAAATAACAATTCTGTCTTTATCATAATTTCGATTTCACGTACTACCGGTGACATGGGTGCTCAGAAGGACCAAAATCAGTCCTTGACTATTACCTTTTGTATTGAATCTCAAAGAGTAATTAGGAATACTTTTAGTTGAAGATTTGAAATAACTCTGTCCTTATCATAATTACTGATGAAGAATACATATCAGCCTATAAAATACTTATTATCTCGAAAACGAAACAATTATCCCCCAAAAGATCATTTCAAGACTTAAAGGAATATCTGTCATCAGCTGTCAGTCCTTTGTATACATTCCATTTCCCCATTATTCAATTTATCATCACTAGGTGCAAATTAATGTTCAGGTATAGAATAAACAAGTTACCGCCGCACAAAGAAGGCCCTTTGGCCACTTGTTGCTCATTTACATTTAAGGCAGTTCTCCACGTAATATATAGACGTTTAGCACGTGGATGTTTTAAATAGTAGAATTTTCTTGCGCATTTGATTTTAATGGGAATATAATTTATTCCTATAAATCCCGAAATTTTCATAATTTGATCACTATGGTTGCTATTTTTGTTAAGAAGGGTCCAAAAGAAATTTTCTCACAAAGCCATAAGGTACCCAGGTTAAATTATGAATCTACATAAAATTTCCTACAAATACTGAAATTTGCGTAATTTTATGACTATGCTTAGTATGTTTCTAAGGCTTTTGGAAATATGTAAAAAATAGCCAAAAAATGGAGAATTCCTGGACTTTTTTCGGTTAATTATGAATCTACATAAAATTTCCTACAAATGCTGAAATTTTCATAATTTTATGGCTATGGTTACTATTTTTCTAAGGTCTTTGAAGATATGTAAAAAATAGATAAAAATGGACATTTTTTCGACTTTTTCAGTCACGAAAATTGTCGATTTTCGTCATGTCACCGATTTCGTTAAAACTACTGTTATTTACTAATTAAAAGGCGTAGAATTAGAAAATATAGGCCATTATAGTCTTACAAGAACAGTAATGGACATAGGGGACATTTTTCATCATGAAAAATATGTCCAGAAGGTCCCAAAAAACAAGGGTCCAAAAAAATAATTTTCTTACAAAGCCAAAGTACCTAAGCTTTCAAAGGTGTATATTATTCTGAATATACAAAAATTTTCCTTTTAATAGCAAATAAAGAAAAAAATGTCTCTTTAAATACCACAATAAGTAAATTCCAACCCATTTTTTACAGAGTCTAATAACAGAAACTAAAAAAGATTAAGTAAGTTAACAAAAATCCAGAAAACCAGTAAACAAAGTTTTTGTTTAAAAAACTAGCTCGGTTTGAAATGATTAGCTGTCCTCTCCTTATATGTCATCTTGCAGACTACTCTTTCGGTACGAAGGTTTTTCATAAAAAATGCAAAGAAAAATATATTAAATCAGCTACAGCATCGGTCGCGAGACCGGAAAATTTCGTTTCTAAAGTGAAACCAGTGGGGCTGATCGTATTTAAATTTTAATTGATGTAAATTTTAACGCTTCTTCGGCCACAAGCCTCTACCAGACTGGTTTTCACGATGGAAGGAAGCTCTCAATGAGTTTTATTTATCTGTTGACTGTCTGGAGAACAAATTAGATCATTGCTTAATCCGATTATATTGATAAAGATTTTTTTTTGAAAACTGTACATTTTTATTTTATAGATTTTTCCTTTAAACCTAATGACGAAGAGTATAATTTCTGTCCATATGTATAGCAGATTCTTCGAGATGGCTATCGGGCCACTGCGATGTTTTCAAATCTGTTGTGGTCCCCTTCTGATCCTTAGGGTACATTCTGCAGTCCTTATCGAGCTTATTGAGTTTGCCGAGAAGAAGACTATGAAAGTTTTCGCCATTCTTGTGACTGCTTTGGTAACGCCGCAGAACAATTCTGGGTCTATGAATGGCACTGATGAGTCTTGTTTGGCCATTTCATTTGCAATTTCTTTACCCTTGTGACTTGTGACCCCCGTAGAATACAATGTGGAATGTATGGGAAGATGGTTAATAACCGCGACCTTACAGATCTATTGTGTCCCCGTTGAGTTATAACGAGTTATAACTCATCAAGCCAGTATCTAAGACGGCTTCACAGAGGCTAGTTCTCCAACTCCGATATCAGTCGCAGAAAAGTTTATGACACGAATGGCTGCCGTCTCGGCGCACGCACTGATGAGATGTTCTGGTGTTTCCCCATTTTCCCCACAGAATCTGCATTCGTCGTTCTTTCTTACTGAGGTGTTCGTTGAGGAGACAGTGTCCTGTTAAAAATGCAGTGACAATCCGAAGAGTGTTCTAACAAGGAAAATCGTTGATTTTTCTCGGTCGTAAGTTTCTAGCTAGATGTTTGTTTTTTCATTGCCTTCTATCCCTTGATGAGCTGGCACCCAGAGTAGGAGGACTTTATTTTCTTTGCCTAATTTGTTCAGCTTCTCTAGGCATTTTTTGACCAACTCCCTCCCGTAAAATAACGTAATAGGTACTAACCTAACCTAACCACACTAGCCCAATATGTTTAGAGCATGCACACAGTCAATACTACAAATACTTTACTTAACAGTAAAAACTATAGGTAAAATTTTAAACTTAAATGATTAAAGGTTTTAATTTTAATTTAAAAGGTATATAATTAAAACAGACACCGTTTTCCCAAAAAGTAACGAGACAAAAGTACGGGGGGATCGAAAACAAATCGACTTCACGATAGTACAAGCTGTCACAGCGGCGTAGCAAATTATTGCTAGTACTTTGACTGGATGGGCGCAGCTACCAGAAGGGGAGCAGCGAAACATCCACTGTTTTAAAGCATAATCAGGCTGGCGCTGCGAGAAAAAAAATCATACTTGCAAATTTCCTCCTGATCGGCCCTTCGCACTGCGTAAAGACATTAGCCTCTTACATTTACACCCCTTGAACTTAAAACACGACCCTTGCGAATAAAAATTCGTCGCACGGAATTATTTTAAGGGAAAATTACAGGGAACGGCCTCTCTCCGTTCGCAAGCCTTTACTCTTAAGGTCCTCTATTTTTTTCTCGTCGATTTTTCTACGTCCCGACATTCTTCCCCGATAAATTTTAAACACCTCGACAATTGGCATCTCGAACCGAATAAAATTACTCCTTATTGCCCTTCGATTCCTAACTCACTGGATCGGTGCATACTAATTCGCCGATTTTAATACAATTAAAACGAATTTAAAGTCAGTATAATTAAAAAAAAGAGATAATACAAAGAAAATTATACTAGCATACCAAAATCAAAGAGAAAATATAATTTTTTATATTAGTTTTATCGAGATCTAGATATTCAGATTACCTCACCCCGTATATTTTTCTGTCTTTTGAAAGAGCTTTACTTGTCTTTTGGTAAAGCACTCCCAATATTTCATCAATTTTCCCAGAATTTTAATTCAAAAATCCAAAAATATCGCTGTGTGTTGCTTTAGACTGACCTTCTTCTTTACCAGATTTAGTATCAAGCGATTTTTTTCCTTTTTAAAGCTCAAAGTTGTATATGCATTGAATACAAATATTTTCAGTTTAGAAAGATATCAATTAGTATTAATATGGAACCATCGAAAGATATTTGTGTGAATATTGATTTGTTAATAAAAAGTTGGTGAAAGAATGTCTAGAGAAGCTAAATAAATTAGGCAAAGAAAATAAAGTCCTCCTACTCTGGGTGCCAGTCCATCAAGGGAGTGAAAAAGCAAACAATCTAGGAAGAAAAGGAACGAACACCCCACTAACTGGACAGAACCGTTCTGTTTCCCAGGTGAAAATCAACTTAAAGCAGAACTCAAGAACCTGGAAGACTACATCCGTAACCTGGAATGGGAATCCAACGATCTAGGACACTCGATGAAATTTCTCAGAATTTACGACCGAGAAAAATCAAAGATTTTCCTTGATTTGGGTAAGAATAGTAAGAAATCTCCGGATTGTGTCTCCTTAATGAACACCATGTGCCATAAACTTTGGTGTTCCTCCGACTGATATCGGAGATAGCCCTAGAAAGAGAACTAACCTCTGGAAAACCGTCTCAGATGGTGGCTTTTGTCAAAACCCTGTATAACTCAAGAAAGGGGAACACAATAGATCTATAAGGTCGCGGTGACTAAGTTCCCGCCCCCATACAATCTATTTACAGGTATTTACAGCTATTATACAATCTTTGAACATATTCTTACCAAAATTTCAATCATTTTCCAAGAGTTTTCAGTGAAGTATACAAAAATTCGGTCTAAATTGTTTGCATGTCCTCCAAACCCACCAGATCTAGCTCTATAAGTTTATTTTTGTATTTTTTTTTATCCTAACATATCTTTAAGCGCGCAGTGATTAACCTCCCCTCCCACTCAATCTACATTCTACATCCCAAGATATTTGCGATAGACTTAGATGCAGAGGAAAAAACTGGAGTAGATTAGGAAGTACAAAATTCTGTAATATTTCTGAGAAAGTTGTATTCAATTTAATCTTCTTGATTTTTCTTAAAACTTTTACGGCAATTTCCGGGCATGGAGAAGGAAAAACCACGAAGCATAATCAGGAGATTAAGAAAATATGTCGCCCCTGGAATTTATGCGATCGCGACATATCTAGGCGTGTGCGAGAAAAATTTTCCCCGAAGACATTTACATTCAGGGCTTATCCGAAATCCTATTTTCGCCCGGCTCTAAAGAAAAAACACCAAAAAGTATGATTTATGCATAACAAGTCCCTTTTGACAGTCACCGGCGTCTTTAACGGCATTATAAAGTATATTCATGAGGCGAACCGCGAGCACTTTGATTTTTGCTTCGGGAGCGTCGAGAATACGTAGTTATATCGGCGGTGGGTTTAGAT